GCAACATGAGATCTCTGTGTGCTTCAGAGAATTAACACACACAAACCAGCAAAAAAATAAAAACAAACACAGCATCTGCTTCTCATCAGCGAGCACAGTCACAGAGGGGCAGGAGGCTGTGTTAACTGGAGAACCAGGAATTAAAAATTCCTACATCTGGACTCCTTGGTCACCAAAGCAAAGGTCTTGGAGAAACTTTTAAGAAATGTACACTGAACAAAGTCTATGAAATCCATGGGGTTGTAAGAACCTAAATCTTATTTCATGAATTTCCGAAGTTTTTAAGGACAGCTCTGACATCAGCAGGGGTCCTCTAACTTTTTAAACAGGGGGCCAGTTCACTGTCACTCAGACCATTGGAGGGCTGGACTGCAGGGCCCCGGGATGAGTCTAAGCAGGACAGGCAGCGGCAGCAGAAACACCCGGCGGGCCCAATAAATGTCCTAGGCAGGCTGCATGGGGCCTGCGGGCCATAGTTTGAGGACGCCTGATCTAAGGAATACTCCTGTGTAAATCTTCCACTTCCAGTGCCCACATTCTTTCATGGATGGGATTATCAGAAAGATCTGTCATCTTCACCGCCAGAAGGCACGGTTCAGGGCTGCAGGCTAGCACCACTCCCATTACCATCACATACTTTCCTGGAAAAAGAAGAAAAATTGTGGCAATACTTGTGTTAACAAAGGGGACAGGGGTGGGGAGATAGAGAGCAAACAGATCCAGTCCTTCAGAGTGTTTAACTCAATCAGAGATGGAAGTTAGAGACAGAAAAATATTCAGCTAGTCGGTATCAAAATGCCAGGCATCAGTGATCAGGATATATATTATACATATATTAATTAGAAGTTCAACATTTAACTTGGAGAATGACATCTGTATCTTCTTTGGTTTCTGATTTTAATATGTTAAAATGTTAACATATGAACATATTTAATATGTTAAATGAAATCATCATGGACTTGGGTGGTGCCTGTGGCTCAGTAAGTAGGGTGCCGGCCCCATATACCAAGGGTGGCGTGTTCAAACCCGGTCCCGGCCAAACTGCAACAAAAAAATAGCCAGGCGTTATGGCTGGCGCCTGTAGTCCCAGCTACTTGGGAGGCTGAGGCAAGAGAATCGCCTAAGCCCAGGAGTTGGAGGTGGCTGTGAGCTGTGACACGACATCGCTCTACCAAGGGCAATAGTGAGACTCTGTCTCTAAAAAATAAAAAAGAAGGGCGGTGCCTGTGGTTCAGTGAGCAGGGTGCTGGCCCCATATACCGAGGGTGGCGGGTTCAAACCCAGCCCTGGGCCAAACTGCAATAAAAAATAGCTGGGCGTTGTGGCGGGCGCCTGTAGTCCCAGCTACTTGGGAGGCTGAGGCAGGAGACTTGTCCAAGCCCAGGAGTTGGAGGTTGCTGTGAGCTGTGACTCCACAGTACTCTCTACCAAGGGCAATAAAGTGAGACTCTGTCTCTAAAAAAAAAGAAAAGAAAGAAAGAAAGAAAGAAAGAAATCATCATGGACAAATTCATCCAATGGAAGAGACTCTCACATTAGAGTATGAGTTACAATTAGGTTGCTCTAATGCCTGGGCAGAAAACGCAGGCTTTTCTCTAATCCGGTTCCTTATGCAGTTATGTGACTGGTCTCCGTACACAGGACAGGGCCTCTTTCAGCACAGACACATCCAGACTTCCCAAAGCAAATCCAATTCTCATTGTTGCCAAAATAGCTGGCAGGCAACACCCCCCAGGCCCCCCACTGTGCCAACCACCCAGGACTTATCCCTGCCACCTCCAGCTTTATTCTGACCACTGTCAGGCAGACACAAGCAAATCCATAGAAGGGCAGGCTGCCACCAGAATGATCTAATGACACATTAACTAAGATTCTCTTCCCACTCCCTTGGGGAAGTGGTTCTCTCCTTGAAAGCAAAGCTTGGCCAGTTCTAATTGCACAAAACTTGATTGTATAAAAGAAAACTCCCAATGCTGCAGGAAGGGCAGGCATGCTGCCAGCCCCTGCTAGGCCACTTTAATTACACTGCATGTGGGGTCCAGGGCTTTGAATGAATGAGGTCAGGGAAGCCTGAACCCTGACCCTTGGGTGTTCAGCTCCGGGCAGGGTTTACTCAGCATCTTTGAACTCATCTCTGGATTCTACCTGGGCCCTTTAGTGACAGAGAGTAGGTCTAAAAATGTACTTGCCAGTCCTCTGAACCACCTTAAAGTGCTGGAGATGGAGCCCTCAGAAAAAGAATGACTGGGCTGGGCGCACTGGCTCACATCTGTAATCCCAGCATCTGGGAGGCTGAGACGGAAGAATTGCCTGAGCTCAGGAGTTGGAAACCATCCTTTTTCTATGAAAAATAGAAAAATTGGTGGCACCCATAGCTCAGTGGGCAGGGTGTCTGCCATATACACCAATGCTGGTGAGTTCAAACCTAGCCCGGGCCAGCTAAAATCAACACTAACAACTGCAACCGAAAAACAGCCGGGTGTTGTGGTGGGGCCCCTGTAGTCCCAGCTACTTGGGAGGCTGAGGCAAGAGAATTGGTTAAGCCCAAAAGTTTGAGGTTGCTGTGAGCTGTGACGTCACAGCACTCTACCAAGGGCGACATAGTGAGTCTGTCTCAAAAAAAAAAATAAATAAATAAAAACATAAAAATTAGCCATGTGCTGTGGCTGAGACAGGAGGATCACTTGAGCCCAGGAATGTGAGGTTGCTGTGAGCTAGTCTGATGCCTTAGCACTCTAGCCTGGGTCAACAGTGAGAATCTGTCTCAAAAAAACAACCAAAAAACACAAAATGAGTAGGCGCCTATAGCTCAATGGGTAGGGTACTGGCCACATACACTGTGGGTGGCAGATTTGAACCTAGCCTAGGCCGGCTAAACAAAACAAAACAAAACAACTGTAACAAAAAAATAGCAGGGCATTGTGGCATGTGCCTATAGTCCCAGTTACCTGGGAGGCTGATGCAAGAGAATCTCTTAAGTCAAAGAGTTTGAGGTTACTGAGAGTTGTAATGCCATAGCACTCAAGGGAGAAAGCTTAAGAATCTGTCTCAAAAAACAAATAAACAAACAAACAATGACTAGAACCCAGGAAAGGAAGAACAAGCCCAAGGGCACCCTAATCAGAAAGGTTAACAGGGGATCTAATGGGAAGGCACGTATAACCAGATGGATGAGCTCAGGGGCCTAAGATTAGACAAACTGGTAAATCCTATTCCCCCACCTCACCTCCTTACACCCACTCCTCCCTTTGGTGGCCTTGACTACTACAGTGGGTCCAGCCGGTCTTCTGCCAGCGTTGTCCTCCTCAAACCCATCCCCACACCACTGCTGCAGCAATGTTCTCAAATCCAGCTCCAGCTTCCAGAACCCAGCTAATCACAGAGAGCCTGGGTGGTTAGTTTCCATGCTCCCCCTGCAGACTAGGAGCAACTCCAGGGTAGGGAGAGTTTCTGACTCAACTCTGCACCTGCGGTTTATGGAAACAAACTCTTAGATAGTCCAGAGAAGGAAGTAAGGAACAGCACTATTGCACTGGCATGGTAAGTAGAGGTCAAGTCCACCTTGAAGCAGGCAGGTCCTTCCACAAACCGCTTTCGAGGCTGGTCAGGATAGGACCCTCCTACCTTTCACCGCTGCCCTTCGTGCTGTCCCAGCTCCCCCAGAAGCACTGGGCTCTCTCACCTCCAAACCTTTGCACACACTGTTCCATGAAGCTCTGTACTGTCTTCCCACAGCACATGGACCTAACGAGCCCAACTGTCCCAGTTTTAACAAGGAAATTCCCATAACCCTGAGGTCCCTGGCAACCCAGAAGCACTGGTCCCCACAGGTAACTCCTATACATCCTTCAGGGCTGCCTCTTCAAGAAAGCCTTCCCCTGACCCCTCAAGCCTGCATCGGCTGTCCCTCCTCTGGGCCGCCACACTTTGTGTTTATGCCTACCATATTATTTGAGTGTCAGTGGTCTGCTTACTTCTCAGGCTTTCCATCTGGAAGCAGTGACCCAGCTGTGTGAAGCAAGAGTTGGTATTAAATAGCAAGAAAAATGACATGGCCCCTGATGGGGACATTCAGGCCAATGGGTGTGTCAGACAGATTCACTGATGCCTATTTGTTCAAACGCTGAATTACCTACTGGGTACTAGGCTTATGCTGGGGTTGGGACCTGATGTGAGAGACTGCTCAAGCCTGCCTTCAAGGGGCTTTTCCTGGGGACCAAGATAACAAGCAGCATGGGTTATGAGTTAGACCAATGCTAAAGCCGATGGTTAGCCGATGGTTAGCCAACTTTTTCTGCAAAATGCCAGATAGTAAATATTTTAGGCTTTTCAGGACATAGTCTCTGTTACTCAACTCTGCAGATGTAGTGGAACAGCAACCCTGGACATTATGTAGGTTTCCAATGAGTTCCCATAAAACTTTCCTATGAACACTGACATTCAATGTCACATGATTTTCACATTATGATTTTTTTCAATCTGGTACTGGTTGGGCACAGTACCTCACACCTGTAATCCTAGCACTCTGGGAGGCTGCGATGAGATTTAGGAGTTCAAGACCAGCCTCTGCAAGAGTAAGACCCCATCTCTACTAAAAATAGAAAAATTAGCTAGGTGTTGTATATATGTGTGTGTGTGTGTGGGGGGGGGTGCCTATGGTCCCAGCTACTTGGAAGACTAACACAGAGAGATTGCTTAAACCCAGGAGCTTGAGGTTGCTGTGAGCTAGGGTGAGGCCATAGCACTCTAGCCTATGGCAATAGTGAGACTCTGTCTCAAAAAATAAAAATAAAAATGTAAAAACTGTGTTTCCAAAACATGTGAAAAGAGGTGGCAGCCTGCTGTTTGGCAACCCTACGGTAGATTAACACTGGAGCCAAGGGCAGAGGCTGAGGGGGAAGGAACCAGGAGCAAGTTATAGTAAATAGTAAGAGTCACAGCTTTTTGAACCCTTACAGATTGTTTAGTTACTCAAACTACACAACATGAGGATTTATTGGCCTCTTTTAAAAAGGATTAGAGAGCCAGAAAGGTTAAGAAACATGCCAGGCAGCTCATCTGGGAAGGATGGAGCCAGGAACTCAACTTAGATCTGAGTCCAGAGCAGCCCAGGCAAGACCAGCCAGTCCAGGACAGGCTGTGGACCTGTCTGCCTCTAATTAGAATCCAAGAGCAAGAAGGGCTCTTAAAAAGAACTTTGGCCTGACTTCACAGGAGAGGGAGACAAGAAGAGGAGAAGCCCACTGATCCTCTGAACTCCTCAGCCTCCCTGGACCACCTCCGAGTGGTTCCACAGGGATCTGCTATCCTCTGTGGAATCTGTTGCCAGTCTAACCCCCTGCCAGGAGCTCAGTGTCACAGGTGGGACCCTGATGTCCACCACCTGCTCAAATGCCATCCAGTGAATTAGTGAGAAGAGATCCTGGGTGCCCAATGCCTGTCACCCAAAAAGGCTCTTAGAGCCCTGTGTGCCAGGCACTGGGCCAGACACGGAGGCTACAGTTGTCAGAACCACACAGTTCCGGCCCTCCAGTGGCTCAGTCTGGTCCAGTGTTTCTCAAAGTGTGGCCCCCAGACCAGCAGCATCAGTATCACCTGAGAGCTGGTCGTAAAGCAGATTTTCAGGCCCACCAGAACCAAGTGACTCAGAAGCCCTGCCTGAGGGTGGAGCCCAGCCATCTGAGCAACCAGCAGCCCTCCAGGTGAGTCTGATGCACCTCCAGTTTGAGCAGCCGTGGTCTGGAAGAGGCAAACATCAGTGAACAGCAGTTCACTACAGCCGAAGATAGCTCCATGAAGGACAGGTACAGGAGGGTCCCCCTGTTCCTAGGGATTAGAGGGTTTCCCGGAGAAAGGTACCTTTGAGTAGAGACAGTAAGGACGAGAAGTTTCGTAGTACAGTGTTTCCCAAAACTTGATGGAGAAAAGGATATCAACTGTGGGGAGGGGCCATCTGACAAAAAGGACTGTATTTTTAAACGGGCTGCAGGTCATGCTTATCATCAGGAAGCTTGACTGAGTGAAAAGGTAAGAAGGAAGGGTAGTGTGAAGGGGCGGGGGGGAGGGGCAAGGGCAAAGGCCCGGAGTGGGACAACCCCAGCCCCTGGCAACGCTGCGCAGACGAGGAAAGAGCAGCTCAGCTGAAGCCCTGGTGTTACCTGGGGTGACGCAAGGCCGCCCGCGCGGCACCCGATCCAGGCCGCGCACAGAGAAGGCCCCGGTCGGGTCCCACAGCCGGGCCTCACCGTCGCCCGCTGCCACCACCGTGCCTTGCATCCACACGGCCACCAGCTCCAGCGGCCCGCGGCCCGCTGCCGCCCGCGACAGCTGCCACGCGCCCGGGCCACCTTCTGTGTCGCGCCGCAGGTGCTCCGCCAGCACCTTGAGCGGCGGCGACCGCGGCAACCGCACGGCCGCTGAGCCACCGCCGGAAAACGACTCCACAGCTGCAGCCATTCTGTCCTACCGCCGTTTTCACAATTTGATGGGCAGCGAGGCGACGCTCGGAGCCACCAATCAGAAGCGCTCTGGCAGAGCTGACCAATCGTCGGCCTCAGAAGGCGGGATCGCCGGGGCGAGCGACCTCTCTAGCCACTAGGAGTGCGCATGCGTGCATCAAAGAAACCAGCCTGCCAATTAGAAATGAATGGGTGAAATTAATCATTGATAATTGGGAAAAAACAAGTGAAGGCTAGAAGGTAAAGCACTCCCTCCTTCAACGCATCTCAAAATTTGACGTGCATGCAAATTACCTGGAGAAGGTGATTATTCATCTTTACATTGCCTTACAGTACTCCGAGGTTAGTAAATAACTGAATTAGGAGGCTCATTTTTATGGGAAGTGATCCAGGATCAAGTCAGGGGCTTGGCGCCCGTAGCTACGGCGCCGGCCGCATACACCGAGGCTGGCGGGTTCCAACCGGCCCGCGCCTGCTAAACAACAATGACAAATGCAACAACAACAACAACAAAATAGCCTGGCGTTGTGGTGGGCGCCTGTAGTCCCAGCTACTTGGGAGACTGAGGCAGGAGAATCCCTTCAGCCCAGGAGTTTGAGGTTGCTGTGAGCTGTAACTCCACGGCACTCTACAGAGGGGGACAGAGAGACTCTGTCTCAAAAAAGAAAAAAAAAAGAATCAGGTCAGGAAATGAGGATGGGAAAAGAGATGGGCACAGCTAGTGAAATTGCCCTTTTATTATTACTTTTATTTATATTTTAATAACATCAAATAATTTAAAAGTTGATAAAATATTTTATTCACAGAAGAAATGCGTATTTATCATAGAAAATTTACAAAAGTAAAATCTAGTACAAGGAAAAAAATGTATATATAGAAAGTGCCCCAAAATGTATACATATTTTAAGAAAGGAAAGATCTGTATCAAAAGTTTAATACTTGGTATATACTGAGAACATTTGTTATCTTGTATATTATATCTTATATCTCTTGTATTTGCAGAATTCAAGCATGACTTGAGCATTACAATTTTTTTTTTTTT